TACGGATTGGATCCCGGACCTCAGCCTGGCTGCCTGTATTAAAAGATGATCGGCAAAGGTAGAAATGAATGACTGCTGTCGAAACGGTGGAAACGGGTTTTCAAATGGTAAAATTTTAGATCAAAGTCAACTCCAAGTCACTCTGTATGGTAAGGGAAAGTTCCCACAGAATTACAGGTGAGCCACACAAATGCTCGCAGCCTAAAAAACAAAACGAAGGAGCTGAAGACAATGGTGGATATGGAAAACCCAAATATCATTGCTGTCTAAGAAACATGGTTAACGTCAGAAATGTTTGATAATTAAATCCAGTTGATTGGCTGATAGACCTAACCCTAGGGGAGGCGGGATTATTCTGTACACAAAAAGTACCTCAACCATACGAGCTGTTGAGACAGTTCCACAAGATTCAGGGACATGTAAACTGGTATGTTACAGGGTGAAGTGTAGGAGGAAATATATTGAATTCGTTGTAGTATGCCGCGGTTCAGAATGTGTTGTGGATGACTTCCTCCTAAGTAAACTCAAGTCTTGTTGTAATATGGGTAAAAGCCTTATAGTAGGTGACTCTAATGCACCATATATAAACTGGGTAAAATTAGAAGTAGGATCATTTACAACGTTATTTGATTGCAAATTTTTAGGAACCGCAACTGCACTAGCTTTATTATAACACATTAGATATGACTTGCGAAACTCCTTGTCTCTCCTGAACTTGGTCTTCACACATTGTCATGATGTCGGCCAAATAACATTGCTCTCATCTCTAAGGAGAAGTGATCATGCAGTCATTTTATTCAAGTTCGTATCTGAGATGGCCTAATAAAGAGTTGCGTCAGCCGGTCCTAACATATGGAGGGCAGACACAGAGGCGATAGACTCTGCGGGATAGTTTGGAAACGAGATAATTGACTCAGAAGCATCAGTAGAAGAGGCGTGGACTAACTTCCCGCGATTATACAATCGGGTAAATGTGATGTTTAAATGAATCAATGACTTCTTCGTATTGATGACTGTTGCAATTTTGAATTCAAAATACAATACATTCGTTCGGGCTCATTTAATACTTCTTGATTACATTGAGTTATTCCTGGGGTTACTGGTTTATACTACAATTCAAATACTTCTGATAATCATATTGACGTCGCGATTGAGCCTGTGATGGAACGGTTGGATATTAATTCAGATTTTAATGCTTTCGAGGAGTACATGGAGAGGTTCGAAATCTGGGCTATGACCAAGGAAGATGATGAAGATTTTAATATTGTGGCCCATTTCCTTACATTCATCGGAAAAGAGACATACAGCCTTATAAAGACTTTGGCACTTCCAGACAAACCGATTTCACTCCCCTATGAAACTCTAAAGCAACTACTGTTGGATAATGTAAAGTTTACAAATTCTGAATGCGGTAAGAGAGAAAAATCCGATAAAATGACTCGACAGAGCATCAAGAATTCCACTACTTTATTAAGTCGTCGCAGTTCGGTGTGTAATAAAAGTTATCCAGACAATACTTCATTGAGCTTTGAAACAGTCCATGGAGATGAGCACGAGATTAGTAAATGCTTGTTTTGTGGCAAGTTTTACCCATGTAATTCATGTATATTTCGTAATTCTAAATGCTTTAAATGTGGTATAACTGGACATATTCAGTCAGTTTGTAATACCATGGTCCATTTCGCTGAAACTAATGCTAAGATGGATGCTTCTAATGATCAGTTATCTTTATCTAGAAGTGGTATAACGTCACATAACAGTTCAGAGTTGAATGAAACCCAGAATCATTGTGCGACAAAAATTTTTAGCCAACAAACTTATCGGATTTCTCATGTCATTGTACCAGATATGGTTTATCGTAATAATTCACATACTTCTGATGGAATTTCTTACAACTCTGAGAATAGAATGCTGAATGAGTCAGATCGTGATCAAAAACCGGATTCAATTTTGGTAGATGCTGAATTCCCTGATCATCCATTATTCTCTAATGAAACTGCTAATCAATTTGAGGAAAATATTTCAGAAGAATCGAATTCTGATATCATATCAAGTGTCAGTGGTCCTCACAATCAATTTATCTCTAATGATATTCCTAATGAATGTGAAAAATATGTTCCGAATGAGTCCAATTGTAGTCATATTTCTGATGTTATTGTATCAGATATCGGATACTCTCACGAACAGTGTATGTTGAATAGAATCCCTAGTCAGGAGTATAATGAAGCAGAGGGGATAGCAAAATTTATCGAGATAATCAGAGAACCAGCTTGCCCAGAAGTGAAGTTTGCACAGACAGAGAATCCAAATCAAGTCCAAGATTATCTTAATGAATATGAGGCAGATGAATGTTTTCTATTCGATTGTTTCGCAGGTAAATCAAGCCTAGTTGAATCACATGTGTTAATTACATAAATCAATGCATATCTATCTGTGTATTCTAATATGAATAACAAAAACAATATGTATCATGATTTTTATTCAAGTCAAAGTCATATGATGGAATACCTCGAATTATATATCAGTGTTTATCCCCAAATACTCATATACAGTAGTCGATGCGTGAGATTTGAGAAGATACTGCTAATTGGGAATGTCATATTGGCTAAAACATTGCGACGTCAGGACCCAACATTATTTCGTGGGGGAGGATATTGTTGGAAAGTATATAATGCGAATTCTAAATATCGATGGTTTCACTACACAACCGACATGCCGATTGTATACAATTCCAGAACCCAGGTGAGTCTGTTCCAATTTCCATTGTTAATTCTAATACTAGTGAGTGCATTCTAGATGATACAGAGTGTACATCCAATACAATGTCGGAGAGATGTAAGATGAACTTAAGAAGAAGACGAACAATCGATTACAGACGGTTACACTCCAATTCGAGCTGTGGCTGATGTGATGTTTATATAAATTAATGACTTCTTCGTATTGATGACTGTTGCAATTTTGAATTCAAAATACAATACATTCGTTCGGGCTCATTTAATACTTCTTGATTACATTGAGTTATTCCTGGGGTTACTGGTTTATACTACAATTCAAATACTTCTGATCATCATAGTAACTCAATCACATATACTGTGAATAGTCTCAAAGAAGAAACACGGCCATCCTTGGTTAGGTCGGGATATTCTATGTTTACTAGGATAAAAGAAGAAATGTTGGAACGTTGCCATCAGCCCTGGGATAGCAAGTATTGTGAAACTCTACAGCTCAGTAAGAAATAAGTGTATAATTATAATCCGGGAATCTCAGAGGAAATATGAAAAGCAGTTGGCACAATCTGTAATCAAACAGCCTTAAAGAATATCCTTGTACATAAATCACAGAATACGGACGCAAAATTGAATTCTCTACCTGATTAAGGACGAAGAACTAGATCCAAATACAAAGTAAACAAATCGTCTGCTCACCATGAACTTTGGTCGAGACAATGTACTTGAGTCTCTTAGTACCTTAAACATGGAAACGTCAACAGGACCGGATGAGCTACACTCCCGAAATCCTGAGACAAATTGCACAATATATTGCAGCCTCACTAACTGTGATACTCAATTTGTCACTTGACCAAGATGTGTCACCCGCGGACTGAAAGGACGCAATCGTCACTCCAATAAACAGCAAACAACATGACGTTAGAAAGGGTTTATTTTGTACAACGAACCTCCTTATTGCAATGGAATTTTGGTTCAAGGCGCTAGACATCGGAAACTCAGTGGATGTTTTTACATAGACTTCAGTAAGGCTTTTGACAAGGTGTCAAAAAATAGACTGTTATTGAAGTTAGAATATCTTGATATTACTGGACTTCTTTTAGAATAGCTTAATGATTTCCTAGTAGGTCGTAGGCAGCAAGTAAGAATGAATCCCAAGTGCTCCAATTGGAGACCACTACTTAGTGAAATACCGCAAGGCTCTATTTTAGGTCTTTTACTATTTGTACTGTATGTAAATGACCTCCCAAGTATAGTTGACTCCTCACTGTTACTATACGCTGATATGTAAAAATCTAGAGAGAAATAACAAGAGACGCAGATGAATGAGTACTTCAAGCAGACTTAGATATTCTGATTAGCTGGTCTAAAAAATTGCTCATGTTTAGCAACGCGGCCAAATGTGTTTAGATGCACTTTGGGGATACAAATGTAAATAGGTATAGCATAGAAGTGCTTGTACCCGTGGCTTGGCCTCATAAGGATCTTGAGATGGAAGTGATTCATGATCTTAGGTCCAAGGCTCACTGCCGGGAGGTTGGAGTTAAAGGGTTTAGAACCTTATGGGTTTCAGGACGGACGTTCACCAAGTTAGATAGTACCAAGCTCACTACAGTATAGACAACCTTAATGAGAACTGAATCTGAGAACTGCGTTCAGGCTAGTTGTCCTTGTTTAAAAAGTGACAAGGATCTCCTGGAAAAAGTACAAAGAGCAGCTACCTGTGCGATTTCAAATCTCCGAGGTTTATCATAAAAAATTGGTTTGAAAGGTAGACCTCTTTACTCTGTCGTCCCGCAGATTAAGAGGTGGTTTGATTTTAATGCATAGAATACTAGGAAATGATTTCGGACCCAATGTATCCTCTCTTTTTTTGCTTATCCGATAGGGACATCTCAGAGGACAGTAGGCGAGTAGAAAAGCCAAGAACGAACAAAATACCCGTGGCATACAGGTTTTCACATCAACTTACCAATCCCTGAAGCCTGTTACCCGAATTAGTGGTCTCTGGACCTTCAATTGACTCGTTCAAGAGAAGGCTATACACTCACAGGAGCATACTGGAAAAGAAATAACATAGGCCGTAGGCTTTCTGTACTAACTACACAGATCTGAATCTGGAAACATTTTGTCAGTTTCTTTTATTACAATCTCTTCTTATTTCACCGAAAACCATATGTCCTATAAAGTTCTTCATTCAATGGGTTGAGTGATGACAAATAGTATTTGATCTTGGAATCTGAATTTAAGCCCTCAATAAGTTGTGTTTATTGAGCACTCAGCCTTGATCTTAAGGTAGATCATACAAAGTCAGGGTCACTCTCATAATGATGATTTCCGGGATCTTGTAGTTAAGCTGTGTTTTAAGTTATTTACTGTGGACAAACTGGATTTGTTTGTCATATTTTGGAATAAATATTTAATGACTGTTTCGAAACTGTTATTTCTGATCCACAATGACCAGCAACCATAAGTCTTCTGGTGATAACTATATGGATTCAATGTGTATAGGAATCTCAAAAATCTTGCATCAGAGTAATTCTGATGACAATCCTTCATCTGTTAATGAATCACGCCCTTCAGTCTCTAATGATATCGATAGTGACCAGTATTTTCAAATTCACGAGGCCTCCCGCAGTACTGGAATGTTAGATATCAACCCGAAATGTATGGTGAAGGATTCTAAACATGGAATTCGTCTTTGTAGTCGAAGACGCGGTTCAGATATCAGTAAAAAGACTGTCTTTGTCCAACCGCATGATGGAAAGTTGTTCAAAGTTGTTTCAAGACACAGTATGAAGAAAGCAAAACCTCCCGTAAGTTTTGTATAATTTTTGCTGACCTTTTTTTATCTCAGTCCGCGTAGAGAAATTTTTAAACAATTTGAGATTCGTCATTCCTTGCATAAACCTTACCCGATGAAATGTTGATCTCGACAAATATTTCTTCTTGGGATGCATAACTTTTACCAACAGCTTTTGCTCGCACTTACAAGATCCTCTGTTTATTGAAAATGGATATGTTTTGACTGATTATGACACTCTAGTTGCTAGTTAATGCGCCCATAAGGTTACTTATTTCTCCACTCAGCGTTCAAATATGTGCAAAGAAATTTGTTGTCGCTTTGCATGCTTCATTGTGAACAGACAGTAACCCTAACGCACTGAAAACACAATTCAACTTTCTATATAAACCGGCACATGGCAAATAAACTACATGCATTATATTAGGGGGAATATTCGTTTGAAAACCCCTCAGTTGTGAGTATGCTACTCAGCAGTCCTCTGTTTTACTTCATGGCTGTAAAATGACCTTTAAAAGTAGGTACTCATAGGTTACTAGTATTTAACCACAAACACCTTCAAAGCATTCTTTTCTTCTTTGGTGTCGAAATGAGCAACCTCATATTTGGCTCAAGACACTAAGTAAACACGGAAAATTGTTTACGGAGTTTATGTTTCCAGCTGAAATGACTAAGACATATATTACACATATCGACCCTCCCATATCGTTGCGATATGCTGTCTAGCCCTAGCTTAGGTTAAAAAATAGCTCGATAGGTCAAACTAGAACGTGAGTTCAGTTCGTAAAAGCACTGACAGTCTGCTCAACTCGTATTATTAGGTAGAAACTACCCTAATGGCGTCCGCATAATTATGACGACCAATGGTTTAAGTCATTAGGCAGGATGATTTGAAATCGGTCTCAGTAGTAAATACGCATCTTTTCCTTACCTACCTCTCAATTCAGAGTATCAATATCCTGTTTTCTATTTTGAAAACCCGCTCTTCTGGAATCATTTTATGTTTATCTATTGTTACTGATACTTCTACTACTGTAGCGGTCATAACCTCACTTTGCTAATGTGGTGCAACAACGTGACCTGATCCACATTTTTGTCAGTGTTATATCCCCTGGTGAATTATGAATGGTAAATCTGAGGTCTTTTATAGACCAATGTATTATGCCTATTTCTTATTGTACAGTTGTTACGTAACTAGCTCAGTGGTCTATCGGTTAAGGGCTTCGGCTCGAGACTGGTAGGTCCTGGGTTCGAATCTTGCGAGAGCGGGTTCGTGGATGCTCACTGTTCGTGGATGTTACGTAACTAAACTATTCATATTCGTTTTCTCTTATCATTAGCTTTATTTTGATCTTTGACTTATTATCATACGATTCTTGAGTTATAATGTTTATTGATTACTTTGGTTTGTATAAAAACCCAGTGTGTTTGTAAGTAATGATTCATATTGCCGAGACTGTTATTTGTGTTCTGGACTTAACTGGCTGGGCTAGGCAGATAGGAAGGACCGAGTAGTAATCAAGACTGCTCGTACGATTTCAAGTATCATTTACGTCCGATCAATAAATTCGCTCCTTCTCTAATTTCACGTTCATATATATATTACGAGTCTATACGTTATAACAGTCAGGTTTTGTCATCACTTATAACGAAACAACCTTTCTTCAGGAGAAACACAAAAAAGCGGAATAAACTTCTGTTTTCTTGACGGTCCTTGCTGAGTGGGCTCATTAATGGTCGTTAAACTCAAAACGAAGTATTATTGTATAGGTCGGTCCCGATGAGTTGTTTTGATTTGTTCATTTTGCCACAAGTTTTTAGGATAGATGTGGTGGATAACATTCTAATCTAGAATATGCATTTCGTCTAATTTAAGGCTCGTCAGCTGAATGTACGTCAGTCTTAGTGTTGATATTCACAATGACACTCTAGCCAAATAGATTCTGCTCTAAATCTTAACGTGTTGTAATAGTGTGAATACCCTACCTGTGAGACATTTTGGTAGCGATCTGAATTCTTCCGCTCAATGAGTAACATGTCAGGATTTAAAGTGAAAAGCATAAAGTTCAAGTCAGTGTAAACACTAACGCTGAGATGTAGGTACATTCAATCAACGAATCCCAAATTGGACGAAAATGTAATGCATTCCATAGATTGTATTATGAACTCCATAAAGTTGTTTTGGGCCATGACTGGAGATAAAACGGAAGACTACAAAACCTGGTTCCGACGATCAATTTATAGTCTTGTTGAACTTTAATGGAACGTTTCAAATACTATATCCAAAATATGTTAGACTACATATGTAATATAGGAATCAAATATTTAAATGATGGAACGGGTTTGAAAAGTAGGAATTAAAATGATAGAAGTTCATTATTGTTATTTTTGTAGGAAGAAACCAAAACGTTGGAATCTTCAAAGGTTGAAATGGGCCTTTAATGAAGTCATGTGCGACAGCACGACAAAATATATCTATATGTTGATATTTTCGGGGTTATTTTGAACTATTACTGCGGTAGGCAACTGTAAGATCAGTCATGATTACATATTCGATCTTTACCACTGAATTTTGAAATATCACTTCGTTGTGTTATTGGCAAGTAGTTATGTCTGAAGTATGGACCTGTAATTATCATTTGTACGTTAAAACTATTTAATTAATGTTTGCGATGTACTATGCTAGGTCCGTATATATAATTGTTTCACTCTGGACCACATAAGAGTCAAAATATCAGATGGATAAAAGCATGCACACCGTATGATCTAGCAGGATCGGCGTGCGAATTGCTGAGGAGTCCTATATTCAGACGACAGTTGTGATCCCTGGCTTTCAGTATTTGTCTAGCCGAGACCAATCAATAATTCAGATTATCTCCAGAGACATATTTCCTTGCCTACGAACCTTATGACAGGTGGTGGTAGCATTTCGTAGTTTCTGATTTGTTTTTTGTACCTACTGTTAACTATGTGCACATATTCTCAAGTTTTAAGAAAACTACACATTGTGAGGGGAAACTGGGATTAACCTTTTAGATCCAAAGTCTCGTATAGATGAAAAAATAAAACGCACAGTTACATCACATCACAATTAGACTCCTTAAATTACCAAAGATATATTTGCACAATATTTTTACCATTTCAGCTGTTATTTCGAATTTATTTGTACTTTTTTCATTTCGTCTGTAGTGGCTTGGAACAATGTTTTAGTTAGAGCTATTCCCAACAAAGTTTTGTCGTCAGTTACGTAGACTCAGGGAACGTCCATTGTGTAGAGTTGCTAAATTCTAGCGATTAATTCATAACACTTTGTCAAAGTATTTTATCTAAACAGTCAATTTAACCACAAGTCCAATTTCAGCCTTTCAAAAGTATTGTATAGTATGTTTTGAATGGACGCTAATTTATGTATTCATGTGACTATTTTTTTCATCATGTTTCAGGCTTCAATCAGATTTTTGTAAAGTATCAACTCCTTTCTGTTTCAGGATATTAGCAAAGAAGTTGCTCAGTGTCGAGTGTCCCATAACGAATACCTTGACTTTTCTAATATGAATCTCCAACAGATTCCAAACGCGATTTTCAAAGATTTACCCTTTATAAAAGATTTGTTTCTGTATGGTAACAAATTAACCACATTACCAAGCAGTATCAGTCATTTGACAAATCTAAAACGACTGTTGCTGCAACAAAACTGGTTAACAGCATCTGGTATACCAAATGAAATAACGAAACTGACTAATCTGGAACAATTAGATCTACGTTACAATCGTCTGGATGGTCCTCTTCCTACTTGTATATGTGGTTTGTATAACTTGGAACATTTACTTCTCACATACAATAAATTAACCCATATTGTAGACGAAATAAAATATTTAAAAGTGAGTTATTTGTTTCACCTATTATTTTTTATCGAGTTTAGCTTAACAAATGAAGTTTGAAAACCAATCTTATTGTTTACCCTGTCAGATAAATATGTGACTCCAGACCTCATATTTTATCGGTTTCGGAATGTTGCTATTAAGCGATATAAAAAAATTTACACGTGAAGTTAGGTGTCCAAATATTTTTAGCCAAAGTGGTTTCTTCCATATACAGATTGTCTTGTTATTTTTTGGTATTAAATAAGTATATTTTGACGACTTATCATCGATCCTTCCACTGCCCGAATATGAAAATTTTTCACAAATCTCACTCATTGGTATATATGTAACTATCATATGTTCTTTAGTTTCTATCACATACCGCGCATGGATTATAAAACAAAAAAATCCATGCTCAGTGTCGTTAGTTCTTTCATTTTTTGCTAATTTATTTTTATTTATTTGAACGCAAATATTAGTCAAAGGGGTACCGAATACATATGCGCCGCACGAGTCTCTTGATTTGTGTGTGGGCTATGATACTGCCCGAGTTCCCAAATAGAAACAGGTAGTTTTTTTAGGGGCCACTCTCGGATCAACGTTAGGAGATGCAGCCCTATGGTGGCTCGTGATCAACCATTTGTTCATTCAGGATCCTGGAACCCATGTGCACCATCGCTTTGGAACAAGGGTTTTCCAACTCCCCTAAGTGGACCCTCCGTGTCCAACAACCCGGTTAAAGAGTCGGAAATTCGCTTTTCATCGTCTCAAGTCCGTAAACAACACCCCGCCAAGAGAAGGCAATGAATAGGACTTCCGTGGCAGTGCCTGTATACGCGTGGCCATGTAAGAAGATTTCAAGAGGGAGAGCTAACCATCCCTACCCTCGGCCGTGCCAGGGTATTTGGGGGCATTAGTTAGTTTCGTAGTATCTTTTCGCTCATTTAACTATTGTATAAGTTGTAACTTTACTATTAGTCTAATAAAGGAGGGCAGTACTGTTGATATTTACTATCAACCAACACTATGCGTAAAATTACAAATTCACATTCATTGTGAAGTTAGTACTTACCGTTAACTTTCATATCAATGGGTGGACTCAAATCTCAGTACATAAATGTGCATGGAACTTCTGGGTTCCACAGTAAGATCCGTTGAAAAATAAGCCAGAATTTTAACGTTTTCGTTAGGTTGCCTTATAAACAACACTAAAAAGTTGTCATTTTTCGACATTTATTTGTTTGTTTCAGCGCTTATCTGTATTGGTTGTAAGCCGTAATTCGATTCGACAAGATTTACCTAGTTCCATCGGTGAACTAACGAAATTGGTAAAATTGGATTTATCCTTTAATCATATCACCTTCTTACCTGACAGTAAGCAATATGTTTTACTTTAATGTTTTATTTATTCACTGGCCAGACAGTTGACCTAAATACTCTGTCTATAGAGAAGTTTCGTCCTCTAGGCTGGATGGCTTAATCGTGATGCTCTCATTGTTCTTCTGACCTACGTCATCAACACAAACTTCGAGTAAAGTGTGCTATTCGAATTTATTCGTGTGTCATTAAGTTTATCCTGTCGATCACGATCTTCGTTGGTGATTGTTATTTTTTTATCCTGTCACTATATGCGCATTTATTTTGACTGTTGACCTATGGCCTTATTCTAGATCCTATATATACACATGACTTTATACTTGCTTGATAAATGATTAATAAACTGGATCGATCTGTTAATTGGTTGCTGGCTGACCTGAGTCCAAAGCTTCTAAAAAATGTTTTGGTTTTCAACAAAATGAGATCCAAAGTAGAGAATGAGCTGAACAACAAAAACCATCGTTCTTGGATGTGTTAATCATGGGAACTAACATAGAAGACCCGGAGACTCAGGTGCATCGAAAGTCCACCTAAACAGATCAAACTTTCAACTAAAGCAGCGATAACCCAAGATTCAAAGAACCCAACTACGTACGATCTCTAATCAAAAGAGAGAAAATACATGGCAGCGTACTTACAGCACGGGAAAAATAAAGAAAAATACTTAATGACTGTTTTCAATCAAAACATGGAAATAGACCCATTTTATCAAGCAAGTATAAAGTCATGTAGATATATAGGATCTATAATCAGGTCATAGGGCAACACAGTCAAAATAAACGCGCATATAGTGACAGGATAAAAAAATAACAATCACCAACGAAGATCGTGATCGACAGGATAAACTTAATGACACACGAATAAATTCGAATAGCACACTTTACTCGAAGTTTGTGTTGATGACGTAGGTCAGAAGAACAATGAAATCATCACGAATAAACTATCCCGCTGAGAGAATCAAACTCTGAAATCAGCTATCTGAGCTACAACTCTTCAACTCAGTGGCTACTAGTTATTGCGTCGATACTTTTAATTCGCAAGCTTTTTTCTATCCATAAAATGATTTTTGATAATTTGTGTACTAGTCATAATAATATTAATGAGAAGTTTTAGATCAATCGACTAACGTTTCTACATTCCGAGGTTTTTGCCAAATTTTCTCAACCACCTAGCCTTACAAAAACTAAAACTTCCTGTTAAGTCCTGTCGCAAAAAAATAAGTCATTGGTCTTTCAACTAAATTTGGAATAAAGCTAGGGAGGCCAAACCAAAACATGTCAGTCTATGAAATCACTGACAATCAGACTTAGCCATGTTAATGGGTGAAGACTACCTGGTTGGGCTCCTCTTGATTGTGGTAACAAGTGGTTAGAGACTTTGAATAACATGGCTCAAAATTGTTTGTAATGGCGCAGGTGCATTCATTCTTTGTCTCCCTCCAAGTTATAATATTCTGAATTCCTCATAACATTTTGTGCTTTTATCTCACTAATTTATATTTTCGATGTCTAGTCTTTTCAATCAACACTCATACTGTTACTACCTCTACTATTCTGGGATTCGGCCTAATGGTTTCATCTCTTCGTGCTAATGGGGTACGGCAACTTGAACTGATGTACATACGTACCAGGCTCCACGTTGTGATTGACTAACCTTCAACTAAATACACCAAAAGTGCGTCAAAATTGCATATTTATTAATTTAGAGTCCACCTCCCATTCACATCTAAAACGTTTGATATCTTTTTATAATTACGCTGATTTAAAAAAATTCTTTGCAAATGCATCATAAAAACGTTTCTCTAAGTTAATTTAAATGCCATCAGTCAGTCGATCATAACCTGCGTGAAAATGTTTTAAGAAATTTGGTTAATATACCAACCTGATCAGATATGAAGTTTGTCAAAGTCACGTGACATACTTACGTTGTATCATGAGTCATTACAATTGTGGGTGTGAAAATGAAAAATGTCAGAAAAACGTCACCGAGATAAAGGTCAACGCCCACTCCAATAAGACGCGAATAATTTTATCCACCTATAACTGTTTTACGTGCCAGTTATATAGAAATAAAGTTTTTTACACAGTTCGTTTTAGATTTACTAAACATGTAAATTAGGAATTGATTTAAGGGCTCATATCGGAATACTGATTCAAAAATACACATACATATTAGTGTCATAAATGGTTTTCAGACCCTTCAGTGATGGTTTGTTGCAAATATAGCGTGTATCAGGCTGTTCATATGGAAGAAATTTGTTTGTTTACGCTTTCTACTAAAGGGGAGGCTACATTAGTTTAAACAAAAAACCAGTCACATTAGCCTTTAATTTTATACTAATCAATTTTATTTATTATTTAATTAAACACATAAATATTGGTACAAGGGAGCACCAGATATATATGCGCCACACAATCAATACTTATGCTATACTATGCTTTCTTGTCAACTTTGTTGACACAGTTTGGTAATTTTGATCTTGACAAAGTAGGTAAATTGGGATTATAAGCTTCTTGTCATACTAAGCAATTCTCGAAATAGATTTTTGTCAAAATAATAAGAACCCAAAATCTATATCTTGCACATCCACTCATTAACCATAATATTATATCTAATCAACTCGTTCATGTTTGTACAGAAAAAACTCTTAGCACATAATAAATTTTATGCACAATACGTAACTAATAGTCTGGAGGTTGCGGCGAAAACTAATGTACTTGCAATGTTTTTTTTATTCACTTTCTGAAATGAGTTATTTTAATACATTTATGGTGAAGTGGATCTTGGCTATCATCTGTTTTCATTTTTATATGTATATTTTTTCAAATTTACGTACAAATTCGAGTTCGCGTGAGTTAGGTTCTGCGATTTGTATTCATTTGAATGGAAGCTAATGCCTGACACTTGGCTGGGTTGCTTGATCGCATTGGATCCAAGCTGCAAGACACTTACTGAGGCTTGTGCAATCAAACCATTAATTCATATCATTATATACTGTGTGGAGTTATTCATCTGAATATAATCTAAACCAATGGTTACCACATAAAAAACGCAGAGTGGGGGGAGAAGCTGCAGCACCAGGGTGTTTAATAGTTATGGACGATTATTCTCGAGTATATTGTTTATGCAACCTAGCTTAGAAATCCAGAGAAGCTGAAATTTGAATAAGGAAAAAAACAACCGTCGTGGCAGAATAATATGCTTTCATTCATTTCGTGAATTCACTTCAGCTGTTTACAGCCTGGAAACAATAGTATTAATTTTTTGAAAGCGAAAAAGTGTGCATACTTTATTTCATATTTATGACAATTGCTAAAGCGATCATGAATGTGGAAGAAGTATAACAATTTTCTAACATGTGATTATCTATATGTTCACTGATGTACGAATTCGAGAACAAAATTTTAAAATACAAGTTTCTAAAAAAAAATTACTGACAAAGTTACGTAGTAATAATCGTTAAAATGGATAGATTGACAGCGTATAAGGAATAAAGCTCAGAAAGGACGCAAGAATGAAGAAGAGTTTATTATTGAGAGAATAAGCTATTACCCAAAAAGATATTAAAAATTGAATTCACTACTATTTTTTGCATGCAATAAGCTGAAGATAGTTCGCGAAATAAATGAATTCATGCTACTTTTCTACGATCGTTCTTGGTTAATTCATATCTATATGTATAAGGATTATAAAAAGTCTGTCATAATCTCACGTTATCCTGTCTCTAACTAAATTCATCAAGATTTTTTTTATCAGCTCCTAAATAAGTTGAAATTTATTGCACTTCATTTTTTACTTTTATCTATAGTTATGCAATCGTCAATGTTTAATGGTGTTTTTTGTATTTTAATAATTATTCAGGTATCGGAAAGTGTACATCTTTACGCGATCTAAATCTTCAACATAATCAACTGACAAAACTACCTGAGAGCATAGGAAATCTAGTGAACTTATGTAGATTGTCTATCAAGTGAGTGTTGTACACTAATTCTCCTTTCATTTTTTTATTCACTGAGCTGTTAGTCATTATATTTAGTTGTTTATTAATAAGTGACATATTGCTTAATACAAAGGTGGTATAAAAAATAAACCGTAAAATGAGTAAGAGTTTAGGAAAGAGGTAAGACGAGTAAGCCTTAGAAAAACTACGAGTATTGAAGAAAATAATTGAGCTAAGAGGACAATGAGGATTGATTTTACTTTTTCTGAAAAAAACCTTAATGGTTACGAAACAAAACTACAGTACACAAGTTTTTCTGTTGGTCTCTCTTATGAGCTATTTTTGGTGATCTATAAAGTCATTAGGATAAATGGTCAATAACAAACAGATCTACGGTTTTAATTCTAGTTTTATATCTTTATTTGGTTCTGAACAATCTGTAATTCTGAAACTTACGTTAATCTTGCACCCACCGACCCCTCGCCACTTCGTGCTTCAAATGACTATTTTTTTGAGTTGATTTAAAATATGGAAATTTATTAATTGGCAAGTTCCCAATGTATACTTCTACTTCAAACAGTATTCAAATTAAGTGGTATTTAAAAGTGTATGCATTACAACCGCAAATAATCATTATTGGTGGTAGTCACACCCAAACTAGCAATAATCCGTCATATAGATTATAAATTTCTTACTAATAGTCTCAAACATTGTGAAGTATATCATACCTTTATATATATAATAGCTCGGGTTTTCCTCTTCTTTTAAAGGTATAACCAATTAGTAGAAATTCCGGCAAGTTTAGCTAACTGTGTGAAACTTGACGAATTCAATGTGGAAAACAATCAATTGTCTTCACTTCCCGTAAGTTAATGAGTTTTATTTTAGTGTTTATATTTAAGACTGTAATATACATTGCATTGATAGGTATGGTTTTCGCAAGTCATCCCATTAATAGTTTTCTTTGTTTCCTATATGTCATTTGTGTATGTTCTATTGTAAACTGTTCATATTATCTCCGTATATGTATTTTAAGATGATTATAATAAGTGTTTGCTGTTATAATTATAGTCTCGTTTACGAATTTGTACGATATTGTTTTATTTATCTCTCTAACAGAATAATTTGCTACCATGTTTACATAATCTACTAAATATCACCCTGTCAAGAAATTATTTTACAAACTTTCCCTCTGGTGATCCACAACAATTCCAGATGTGTTATGTAAGTTGTCTTTTATTATCACTACTGCTATTAGTAATAGTTCAAATAATGTGTGCTTCTTCTGACTTATTTACTTACGGCTGTTACCCCTGGTGGTACATAGTCTACTGACTAGGATTTTCCAACCAACTACGTCCTGGTCTCTCTTTCCTAATCGTTCACAAGCGCTATTCGTTCTTTTGATGTCCCCCTCCAATTGCCGGTGCAATGTGTTCCTTCGTCTGCCTCTTTTTCTTTTACTCTGGGGATCCCAAGTTAAGGCTTGCCTGGTGATACAGTTTGATGAATTCCGCAATGTGTGCTCTATCCACCTCCAATAGCTTTTCCCTATTTCTTCTTCAGCTGAAAGCTGGTTTGTTCTCTGTCACAGTAAGTTTTTTCTGGTAGTGTCCGACCAACGGATCTGGAGTATTTTACGCGGATAACTGTTTATAAATACCTGTTTCTTTTTGATGATGATGATGGTAGTCGTAGTGTACTTCTCCCAGAACTATCTAATTAGGAGTACTTTAGTATCCAAGCGATTCATTGAAGACACTCTAATTTATCTTCATTTTAATGTTTTTTCATTGTTTTAGTTCCTTTACCTATATGTCCAATAGGGTTTAGTTTTTTCCGTATAAAGATAGTTTTAAACAGGTATATAGATTCAACAGGATATTCGACTACTTGTCTTTTAGATGATGGTTTTCATCAATGAACTCAGTGTTGAAAACATGATTAGGTCGAATGTATCTTTTGAGTCATGAAATATATTCCATGATTCTCTCTGTTGCACACAAGTTTTTAAATCTTCAAGTGATCCTCCTTATTGCTAAACTTTTTAAAAATATCTTATTGATCTCAGGACTCAATAAGATTACTGCATTTTATATGTTACAGAATTATTCGTACGTATTGTATTGTATCTGCATCCTCTTTAGAACTCGGTTAAGGAATTACACTAATGTGAATATTTTTCACATTTCGTATCCTATTATTAATGTTTATATTTATAATTAACCCGTTGAAATTCAAAATATGTAAATTATACAACTAGTCGTGAAACTATCTAGTTATTCGAGTAATTCTTATATGCTAACTTGATAGATCGCATGATTAATACACACTGTTATTCCTTCGCACGATGGAATAGAAGGAAAAGAAGTTTTGTAAGGAATATGTATTGACGAAGACCTTGAAATAATCAATTTACACTCAAGTTTATTCAATTATATATCGACTATTCAGTGATTATTAATTACGAAATCTGTCAGACTGAGCAACTGTCACTTGAGCACAAAATCACGAGTTTTTAAATGCAATGAAAACGTCGAATATCTAATTTCATATTCAATGAATTAATACGACTGAAAATTGGTTCATTTTTTATTGTTTGTTTGAATCTTTCTATTGTTGATTAGGACTGCAATTAATCTTGCTGGTATATATACATCTTGTGGGGATTACCCAGATATTGCCTTAAGTCACAAGCATTATAAGCCAAGACGGATGGTGGTCAGCAGTGGGATCCAGGACGTGCGTTTCACCTTATTTGGGACTCATCAGTTGGACGTACCTGCATCCCAGAGTTAATGTTCGATTCACCATCCATCTTTGCTTACATTGCTTGTGGTTTAAGGCAATATCGAGGAAATCCCCACAGAATGCATATGTGCCAATAAGAAACTGATCAATTACAGTCCTAAGCATCAACTGGAAGATTCAAACAAACAATACAAATGAATTTACACTTCACCCCATTGCACAAGTCAATGGCTATAAGGACTCATTAGGTAAGTAGATGACTCGATGGCGTTTGAAGTAAACGGTGCTGGGTTCGAGTCGCGGGGTGAACATCAACTCTGAGATGCTGGTACATCCATTTGACGAGTCCCAAATAGGGTGAAACACACGTCCGGGATTCCACTGCTAGCCACCACCCATGTTTACTGAAAATTCATTGCCAGTCAAGGTTAATCAATAATGAAAGTTGCCGACCGAATTTCACTTTTAATCGATCTATGAATTTTAAAACTGCATTCTTCTGGATGTTGTATTTGGCAGTTTAACGTTTTTAATAAAAGGTTGAAAACAGAAAATCTAGTTCAAGAAGAATAGACGAGTTTCCAAACTGAAAATATGAAATATTGAAATTCGGGATCGAGTGATAAACCGAGAAAAGATTTGTGCTACTGTTAATGATCTTGAATCTGCAATAGTTAATCATAGTTATCATCTAGACATCAACCAGGTAGTCTGGTAAAATGGCTCAGACCAACAACCAGTGGCTAAGAATCAATACCAGTTCTTGACTTGGAGGCCCTTAGATTTTGTACAACTTACGCCTATATCAGATAAGATTACACATCATGGCAGATGGTGTCTGAGCATAAGTTATGCATGTCCTAGTCACTTCAGTCGATAAATATCCACAGCCTCTTCAATCTATAAACCATTACCTAGTACCCTATGTTTAACCTCAACATCACTCAGTTTTTCTACAATAAATGAATCGGATTATAAATCACCGTCAATTTAGATTTCTGATGCTAGATAACAACGATCAATATAACGCTTCAGCTTTTGAGATATCGTAACCTCCCCAAGTAATGTGCTATCTTTATCAGTAACTGTGCTCAGCGCAACAATTAGCTACTCAGTCAACGATTTTACGGTCTATGAGTAATCTGTTGAACTACATTGTATTGTCTTCTAACAACCAGCGTTTTCCATACAAATAAAATAGTAGTTGGTACCATAAAATATTTATAAACTCTTAATTATGTAAAAAACAATGTAATTTGATTAAAAAAACCTCACTTGTGCTGTAGAACTATCAACTGAGAAGGTAGTTCATCATGACAATAGGAATTATTGACTTTTTTTCTAAAGATATTAATCTGCCACATTTTCTTTTACCCTATCTACTTCAGTGAGTAACTCATTAAATGTGTCGAATATGTACAGTTAATCTTTTACAGTATATTGAATAGCTGTTTATTGTCATCACTCTCTAAAATGTCTGAATTATATCTGTGCTCAAAGGTGCAGTCTACAACAGAATTGCCACGGATGTATCACTCTTTCTAAGTTCTTCGAAAGCTATTTAGTCTTCTGACATTCAGAAAACAACTTAATTATAATCAAAGGAATAAAACGTTCTCTACATTTTTTAGGAATCGATTGTTTTACATTAATTTTGTAGGTGATGATAATGATTTCTGATTATTAATCACAGTTGGATTTAGTAAACTGGTATGAAAAGCATCCATATTCTAGATTCACTTAGTATTGTTTTTTTGAATCCTCCCATTGATGTTTAGGACTGCAACTAGTCAGTCTCTAATTGGCATTTGTGCAAACTGTGTGTATTGCAGGTACATCCAGCTGACGAGTCCCAAATAGGACGAAACGTGCGTCCTGGATTCAACTGCTAGCCAATATCCATCTTTGCTCAAAATCCATATTCTAGTTTGGTGAAATTTTAACTAGTGAATTCTACTTTCCAATATATGTCATCACGTTAACATAATGAAAACGTCGATGTATCCAACAAATTAGAAATGACATTGACTATGATTGTGTAGTTAAAACGTAATATTAATTGTGAAGCTGTTTCTCCAAAAATAGTTGGATGTTAACAATAAAAATGATTAAAGTATTGTAAAGCGTATAATCGTTCATAGCTAAGGCTATCATAGTTGTACTTTCTAAAATAATATCTTTACTTTCTGGCCAGATCTCAAAAGAATGTATTCAGATCTTAGATCTGGTACTGACTACCTCGTTTAATACTTCATAGCAGTTGTTTAAAACCGAGGTTCTGATCTTATCTAAAATCTAGTGTTTAAGTAATATCATTTTTTCCCTTAGATGTACGATTTCTGAAACATTTTAAACTATAAATAAAATTTATATACATACATATAATATACCAGACGATTTATCAGATTGTTTCACCTTTTTCCTTTTTGTTTAGACTATCAATATGGATCATAATGAAATTACAAACATTCCAAAATCTGTATTTAGTTTGGCTTCAAATTTGATTAAATTAAATTTACGTGATAATGCATTAGACAGTTTAATTGGTCCAGGTTAGTTAAATACCGTCTCACTTTCATTTTAATGTGTCTAGATAAAATATTAATAATAATTAGTGGTTTTGTAGTAACTGTTTATCTCTCTATAGATTAGTAATAAGACCACCATTGTCTTTTCATTATCGTTCAGTTTTAAATTTACGTTGACGATTTACTAAATTATCGAATTTCACATAAGTTTCTCAATATATGCGCACTGCAGAAGAGTTCAGTGCTAAGACTGAGGAGTTATTCAGTGCTTCGTAGGTTTCATTGGTCGTTTAGCCAAGATCATTCCTTGATGTAAACCATTAAAGCTCAACAATCTCCACAAACCTTTGCTATACCTATATATATATATGTACTGTGGCGACACAAATCGATGCAGATATATGTTATATTCTACGTTCCATATGATCTAGTAACTGACTGACTGAAGATTACAGTATAGCACACTAAACCAACAATCTGAATATACGATAAAACCAGAGCACATAAGGGTAACATTGTTGAGTTAAAAATAATTGTGAATCAAACCTGTATAAACAGTTGAGGATTTGTTGTCAGTCGATGTTCATGAAATTTACAATCTTTCAACATCTTGCTCCTTCCTTTTACAAGTTGAATATTCCATATGTTTAATCTGCTTGTGTCTGCATTTGATAGTACTTCTTTTCTTTGCATCCAACTGTTAATTAAGAGTCTGTCAAATTTTCTAGTCTCCACTACATTGTTAGGAAGTTAAGTTCTGATTGAAGTCATATTGAAGCTGGCATTCTGGATCCAAGTTGATAAATTACAGAACCTTACAATCACAACACTAATCCTCATTCCCTGTTTATTCCAAACTAAACCAGTAAATAAATATGTAATCTAAGTTCATATTTTGTCATATTACATAACTTTCACATTAATTTGTTTATCAATCGTGTATTCGGAATCTCTCTTAAAGGAAATATCTGGTTCATTATTCAGTTTAGTTGTCCTGAGCTAACTTCCCTTTTGTATACACTACATTAAGGTGGATTATTTTTTTCTCCTTAGTTTTATTCACTTTTACTCATTGTACTTGGAATAATAAACAAGTAATCAATATCTATATTTTAATTAGTTAATAGTTAATAATAATTCCGCTAAACCACTTGTTAATTTGTTGTTTAAATATTCTCTTCAATAAATTTATTTACATAGTTAAGATCATGAGTCAATTGAAGCTAAACCACCATGGAAAACCTGGAAGCACTGGATGACCATTTCGCCCTATTGTGGGACACCTCTGCAGTACGCATCTACGATCCCGCCTCGCGAGATTCGAATCCAGGACCTATCAGTCTCGCACGCGAGTGCTTGACCTCTAGACTACTGAGCGGACATCCAACGGTGTTAATGTCTAACTTCAACCAATCCACGGAATCGCGCCACCATCCACCATTGTCTTCAGGGAGTTCAAATCTCGTGGATGTGCACTACTGGGGAGTTCCACAGTAGGACGAAACGTCCGTCCAGTGCTTCCAGGTTTTCCATGGTAGTCTAGCTTCAATTGACTCATATTCTCAACTATTGAAATTATTATAATATCCACAAAACCCCTTCTGAAATTTATTTACTTAGACTTGCACGAATTAAAAACCTTAGTTGAACTGGATTTGGGCTCTAACCGTTTATCAGAATTACCTACGGAAATCAATAAACTTGTTGCTCTTGAAGTACTACGATTAAACTATAATCAGTTAACTGTGAGTTATTTTAATTGTATTTACCATTTTTTACAATTTCTATTTTTCGGTTTACATATGAAAACATTTAAATTTTAACATTATTTGTTCTGATAATAACGCATGCCAATGAATTTGTTTCGCACTATTTCATTTTTTCTAAGGCTTTATTCTTCTGTTTGTATGTATGTTATAAGCATAATAGTTCAGCATTTTCACCAAGTTAATTACCACGATGTTAAGATCTACATTGTAGTTTCTGATTCTGTTAGCATTGCTATAAGTTGTCAGTGTTTGGTATCTATCTATCTATTTATCTATCTATATATATATATATATAGAGAGAGAGAGAGAGAGAGATCGGTAAATTCACGCTGTCTAAAATCCTACTTCTCTTTCAACCACTTTTATTTAAATTCATGAACATTGGTACAAGGAGACACCAAATATATATGCATCACATTTCATCGTTCCATTTGTGTGAGGACTGAGATACTGCTCGAGCGCCCAAACCGTAACAGGTGGTTTTCTTAGATGAGCCACTCACCGAGCCTTTGACACAAAGGTCCAATCCTCAAGACATGGTTTGACCAACGTGAGGAGATGCAGTCCCATGGTAGGCGGTGACCAACTATACTTTCATACACCATTCATTCCCTCAGGATCCTCCAGCCCAGCAGCAGAATTATTTTATCGGATAAATTATTCTATTGTGAGACCAATCACAGTGAATCATCCAACCATTTTTGTATTGTAATATTTAGGTTGTTTAATGGTTCTAATAAAGTTTCATGTTCGTCCGTTAGATCAGTTTCATAGTTAATTTGAATTTTGCTAAGTCATAACATAACTAATTCTTTACAATAAGTCCACTTCCAAAACCGCACAAGTAGGTATATATATATATATATCATTATTCTGAAAGAAATTTTTTTTTTACAGTCTAGTAATTATCACACTTGTTATTATCTATTCTTTAATAACTTGTTTGAAGGTATCAACGCCATGGTTAGACTTGATAGTTTCCAATAAATTGAGCATTGATTAGAAAGTTAATAATGAATATATTTTCTGTTATACTGATTGGGATATAACCAAAAATATATTTATCATTAACATTTTGTTTGTAATTCTATTGCTTTTACTTATTCTACATCAAAAGAAGATTTTGTTCACTTAAATGTTAATATGATGTGACATGAAGTGTTGTTATTTCTTAATCTTATAATTTCTAAGCTTAAGTAACTGGTTTCGATTCGCACTTTGTTTTGCTTTGTAATCATACAATTGATCATCTATTCAAGCTAAATAAGACAAATCATAGATTCCATATTGTGTACTTATTTCTTGCGTCAACTTTTTCTATAGTAAGCAGTTTTCTTTTTCTAAATTGTGTACTTACACATTTGTAGATGATAGATTCAAGTATGACATTCTTTAAATTGACCATTTCCTAATATTTGAATAACATGGTAATTTAAAAATCTTTGCTCAAGTTAGTACTCCAAGTAATAATTCGTTGCGCTAATATATCACATAGTTCTGATAATCTTCGTCTTCTTATTACATTATCGAAATTTAACAAAGGGATTAATTGCTTCAAATAATTCATTTAATAATATTTTTCTAATCACGCATTTACATCTGTATTAAATCATGAAATCATCTACTTTAAGATTTCGATAAAGAATAAGCCTATCATCAATAACTTTTTATGAAACCAAATTTAAAAGAATTACTCAACAAATTAATTTCTTTTTAAAGTGTAAATTCTCATCAAATGTTCTGTGCTGAACCATTGTGATGAAAAAGATTTTTTTTAATTTGACTTGTCAGCGCTGAAAGTATGCAGAGAAAATATGTGAACAATAAAAGAAGTTTGTTACCCCTATATATATATATATTACATTGCTAGTGTACCGTTTATTTTTATATTGGCTTCTGCAAAAGAATAATCATTTTAAAGGGAAAAAAAGTGTTTTTAAATAGGATTTACCGATAGTAAAATAATTTCAAATATATATGAGTTTTGGTATAGATTTTTATTTTCTGAAAACATTTTCATATTTTAATTTTAGCTGTCGTTTAAGTTGATTTAAACAAAAAAATGTCATATGACTCCTTCATATGATTATTGTCTGTAAAAATTATCATAGCTACCATTTTATTTTGCTTTAGATTGTTTCAATGATTTATTTTTTTCTACTCATACCTATATATATATATAATGTAAATGTGACTTAAATAATGAGGAATCTGTTTGTTGTTACCATTTGTTTTGCATTCTGAAAAATGTAAACTGCTTTATATACAGTTGTATTTCTGAGATTATATATATATATATATAATTTATATATGGCTTATTGGTTTCTGTCATGTTATCTCTTTGAAGAAGAACTTTTATCTGATAGTTTAACAAAAATATTTTAAATGTATTTGTTGAAAACAATAATTTTTTTCTTGATGTCATATCAATTCTTGGTATAATCAAGAGTTATTCCCTGGTACGTCCGTGGGTGGGGAGAGACCGCCATCCCTCTTGAAATCCTCTCACATGGACATACGTATATAACCACTGTCTAGGAAGTTCTACCCAGTCTTCTCGTGGTTTGGTTGCTGTTTACGAAACTGATAGGACAAAAAGCAAATGTTCAGTGCTTTAAACGAATTGGTGGACACGGAGGGTCTACCTAGGAGAGTTGGAAAATGCTGATTCCAAACCAATGTTACACATGAGCTGGAGGATCCTGAGGAAATAAATGGTGTATGAAAGTATAGTTGGTCACCGGCTACCATGGGACTGCATCTCCTCACGTTGGTCAAACCATGTCTTGAGGATTGGACCTTTGTGTCAAAGGCTCGGTGAGTGGCTCATCTAAGAAAACCACCTATTTCGTTTTGGGTGCTTGAGCAGTATCTCAGTCCTCACACAAATGGAACGATGAAATGTGATGCATATATATTTGGTGTCTCCTTGTACCAATGTTCATGTGTTTAAATAAATAATAATGCTTAGTAAATCCTAACGTATCATAAATCGAAATCGTTTTCTAACGAATTACGAGATAGTCTTTTAAATGCCCTCAATTATGAAACTCTTGTAGTTGTTTTTAATTGATCAAGAATATTAATTGTAGCAAAGTAAATAAATCTATTTGTTTCGCTTTAACTATTTACACCCTGAAAACGACAGTATATTTAATAAGAAAATAATAAGTCCAATTATTTCAGATGACATAGACTGGAATGTTTTGATCATGTTTGGAGATTAAGTGTATAACTTGATTGGTAAAAGAAATATTAATATAGTTAATCAGTTCTGGTGATCTCTCTTTATGCGTTTTCAGTATTCTTTTCTAGAAAATCCTCAAAGTTATCCTTAAAATAATCGTTTGTGTTAATGATTCTTACCGTTTTTCCACATTTGTTACATTTTTACTGATCGTTTCTATAGCATATTTAGTTTAAAGATAATTTTCATCAAACATTGGGATTAGTTGAAAAAGTATACAGATAAAAGTAGCGCTTTTTAGAAATCTTTCGTAAAGTTCATTTACGACTTTTCACTAATTTGAACACAAGTCTTTCCAGTTTCAAGTACTACACTATATAATCACTGTGTTGGAATTAAATAACTTTCTAAATTTGACTGGTAAAATGTTAAAATCATGATGCAATAGTCACTTAACTGAAGAACACAATACAACTGGATATTAATATTTCGTTTCAACAACACATGCAAATATTTTCTCACTAGTATCATTCTACTAAGGTATTCAGATTAAATTTAAATTGCATGTTTCGGAAAAGTAATAGGTTTACGGCGTTATTTTCCTCTAAATTTTGATAGATTATACTTACTGTTTTTTATGATCAAATCCATTAAGCTGTTTGGTTGTCACTTTTGGCTGGGTAATCTTGTCTGATTTTCTATAAGGTGGAATGTCTTTTACTCTAAGCACTGTACACCCATACTTCCTAGTCAGTTGAAATGTTTAATTATTGGACCCCAGACGGACAATAGAATCCCTAAAATTATCAAAGGAATACTTCAAAGGTTGAATTATGTACAGAAAACAATGGGATTTCTATAATTATTAATGACTGTAGGATGTAAAACAGTTCCATTCTTTCAGCTGATTTTGTAATAACTTGTTCATATTGAATTGTAAGTTAGCTACATTATTATATTCTAATCAGGTTCTGCCTAGAATTGATATTTAGTTTGCTAAAATATTATTTGACAGATTAATTTTCTGTAAAAAATTCATTTGTTTAACAACGTGATGTACCTCGTCTTCGTTCAAAACTCGATAGTCGCTTAATATCTGTGTATAAAACAAAAGTAATCTGCATATTTCTGGCACAAACAGTTATAAAATTTCAGATACATATTAATTATAAACATCTTTACTGTATGTAAATTCAAATTTATTCAACGGGATAGAAATCATGTATATCAAATCCATTGTTTACTTCAAAATAATTTCACATTTATATCATCAACGAATGGAATTTGTTACCTAACCACGTGACTGAAGCTCCATCTGTTGACGCTGTCAAAAGAAAGTTGGATCAACGTAGATACGATCATTGCCATGACTAACATAGCCCATTCAGCCTCCTACCCTTTCCAAACTAAAAGGGTCTTATTTTTTCATTCATTCTTCTATTATTTTGTCTCTCAAATTACTTCCAATATTTATTAATCGTAGAATTTGACTGCTAGTGAATCATTGTGTTGAAACAGTTTTTTTTCAATATTAATCTTCATCCGGATGAGATCAATCAGTGATACTGAAAGATCGTAATATTCGTTGAGTTTTGTGTAAGGCTGAATTGTTTCCTTTAGCTGAAGAAATAAATCTTATTCCATCTACTTGATTACAGCAGAATACGGTGCACAACTATCGGCACTCGGACGTGTAGAACCTCACAGTCACAAATCAAAACACGGAGAAATCAGAGGAACTGACTATTGGCTTAGAGTCAAAAATGTACATAAAACTAGGAGCATTTATAATTTTTTAGTATTAGCTATAATGTCATTATAATTCAGTCAACCTGGAAGTAGGAAAGCTGTACAATTGTTCAGTCATAACATGTTACATTGATATTCTGGAAGGTTCTATCAAGTCGTGATTCGACTGAATCTCTTCGGCTCCTTTAGAGCCTCTACAAGCTTCGTCATGCTGTTCGGATATGTCCTAATAATAAAATCCACTATGTATATTTGTTTCTACGGTTTTTCTGTGACTCGTCTTGAAACACATTCAATTTTAATAATTCGATCATTTTTATCATCTTATTTTTTTAGAACAAATGATGTTAAACATTTTCGGAATAAGCTGTTTTATTGTCGTTTATGTATAGTATATTTATAACTTTAATGGATTATTGAATATGTAAGCCAGTGAACACCACATTTAAAATTGTTATGATTAGATGATTACCTTTCCGTCTAAAAAGAAAAATGTTTAATTAAATGAAGTTAACTTTATATAGAGGTATATTAAACAGTGTTTATTGTAGTGAATCGTACTATTACATTGAAATTTATATATATTTTCAACTTAAACTTTACTATCAAGGAATCTTCATCCATTGTCATTGTTTAGTTAGTGACTTAATCATCATTTAGTTGAATTAACAGGTTATGACTTGTTACTAGAACGTCAAAAAATTCATTTAGATACTAGTCACCTGTGTGTGATGAACACATGGTTATTTATTTATTTATATAATAATATGGTTTTATTGTGACTTTTGTGTATTTTTACAAGAGCAAGTAGAACAGTTTCATAATACTATTACACCCTATACTTAAGAGAATATCGTGTTTGTTCGTTTTGTTCTTCACAGATGAAATAATTAATTAGCTGTTCATTTTATTGATTGATTTTGTTTTTGTTTACTAATTTCTGTGATATGCTAGCGAAGATTAAGTTACGGGAATCTTCTGAAAGCTATCAATGGACTAATATTATACCGAGTTGGTGAACACGGAAAGTCCATCTAGGAGAGTTGGAAAACCCTCATTCCAAACCAATGGTTCACATGGGCTCCAGTATCCTGAGGGAACAAATGGCGTATGTACTAATCGTTGGTCATCGGCTACCATGGAACTGCATCTCCTCACGATGCTCCACTGCCTTGTGATCAGACCTTTAGGTTGAAGGCTCCCAGTGTGGCCGCTTAAGAAAACCACCTGCTTCGGTCTGGGCACCCGGGCAGTATCATAGCCCTCACACAAATCAGATGAGATTTGTGTGGTGCATATATATCTGGTGCCCCTTTGTACCAATATTTATTTGTTCAAATAAATAAATTATAAATAAAGGTTGTCGCTGATAGTGTCTGGCCATCGGATCTGAAGTATTTTGCGTAGACAACTGTTAATAAGCACTTGTATCTTCTGGATAATTGCTTTCGCAGTTCTCCAAGTTTCCGCCTTATACCGTAGAACTGTCTTATTATTTGTATTGAAAATCCTGATATTGGTACTGGTTGACAGTTTTTTTGAGTTCCAGATGTTCTTTAGTTGTAAATATTCTGCTCTTGCTTTGTTGATCTGCATCAGATCCACCGTGTTCATCAATGATACTGCCCAGATATGTAAAGGATTTCACATCCTCCAAACCTTCTCCCTCAAATGTAATTCGATTGATGCATGCTGTATTATATCGGAGAGTCTTGCTTATCCCTTAGTGTATATATAGACCTGCTGCTACACTAGTGGTCTCCTGCATTTATGGTTGCGTGTGTAATAGAAGAGCCAGATCATCTGCGAAGTCTAAATCGTCAAGCTGCATCCTGCCTGTCCATTGTATCCCGTGATTTCCTCCAGATGTTGACGTCTCCATGATCCAGTCGACCACCAGGAGAAAGAGAAAGAGTTAGAGTAAGCAACCTTGCCTAACACCGGTCTTTACCCCGAATGAGTTGGTGAGTTGTCTCCCGTGGACGATTTTGCAGTTTAGTTCATCATAGGAGTTCCGTATGATATTGACTATCTTTTCAGGCACGCCGTAGTGTCGAAGAAGCTTCCATAGTGTCGTCCTGTCCACGCTATCAAATGCCTTCTCGTAGTCAATGAAGTTGATGTGGAGTGATGAATTCCATTCGATTGATTGTTCCACAATGATACGTAGAGTTGCGATTTGGTCTGTACACGATCGATCATTACAGAATCCAGCCTGTTGATCTCGAAGTTGGGCCCACTATGGAGTCCTTCATTCTGTTTAACAACACCCTGTTGAAGACTTTTCCTTGTATTGAGAGAAGAGTGATGCCTTTGTAGTTATCACACTTGCTGAGATAGCCTTTTTTGGTATTTTCCAGTCTGTTGGTACTTGTTCTTCATACTGAATCTTACTGAAGAGAATGTGGAGTATCTTTGCAGTTGCTGCTACATTTGCTTTCAGTGCCTCCGCCGAAATATTGTGTGGTCCTGTTTCTTTGCCGCTCTTGATTTGCCTAATGGCCATGCTGATCTCTTCGATTGTTGGTGGGCCAACATCGATCGGGAGGTCTATGGGTGCTGCTTCGATGTTGGGTGAATTCAATGGGGTTGGTCGATTTAAGAGTTCCTTAAAATGTTCTACCCACCTGTTTCGTTGTTCTTCAATGTTGGTGATTACATTGCCTCCCTTGCTTTTCAGTGATCGTTCTGGTTTAAGGTAATTTCCAGCGAGTTTCTTTCTTGTGTCATACATTTGTTTCATGTTTCCTTCTCTTGCTGCTTTTCCGCCGTCATTGCTAAATCTTCAACTTACTTATTGTTATTCCATTTAATTGTGTGAGGGCTATGATACTGCCCGGGTGCCCAGACCGAAGCAGGTGGTTTTCTTAAGCGGCCACACTGGGAGCCTTCAACCTAAAGGTCTGATCACAAGGCAGTGGAGCATCGTGAGGAGATGCAGTTCCATGGTAGCCGATGACCAACGATTAGTTCATACGCCATTTGTTCCCTCAGGATACTGGAGCCCATGTGAACCATTGGTTTGGAATGAGGGTTTTCCAACTCTCCTAGATGGACTTTCCGTGTTCACTAACCCGGTTAGAGCTCCGGACATTCGCTTTTCGTCCTCTCAATTTCATAAACAACAGTGATGCCACGAGAAGGCAGTGAGAAGGACTTCCCTGGCAGTGGTTGTATACGCATTACATATGCGCCGCACAAATCTCATTCGATTTGTGTATACTCGTAGCCATGTGAGAGCATTTCGAGAGAGAGGGCTTGCGCTCTCGGCCGTACCAGGGCGTTTGGGGGCTCCCACATATTTACCTTTGTCGGTTCTGATACTCCTCTTCACTTGCTTGTTTGCCTCTGTGTATTCGGCATGTTCCTCAAGTCATTCCTAATTTATTAGTTACAGCCTCTCACAATCACAGCCGCTTTTATCTTGATCTTGTGTAATTATTATTTTTTATTTTATGGTATGATTCAGTCTGGTTTGTTTATATATAAACTCAGTATGTCTGAAACAAATGATTCAAACATTGGAAGTTGATATTGGCGTTCCGGACTCGACAGGCAGGATTAAGCAGAAAAAGGATCAATAAGAACTCTAGGCTGTTCGTACCAGTCAATACGTCGTTTTCGTGGCACAGTATGTCAGTCGTGTTCTGATTGGTGACCATATCACGTGATAATTAGCCGAGCAAAAGTCACAATAGTTTCATTGGAGATGAACACTTCATGAATACTTTTTAGTTTGTTAGCGTTATAATAAATTAATGTATATATGTCTTTTAACCTATAATATCTGAGTTTCCTCCTTTCTCATGATCTTATGCAATATTGTCTAAGTTAGACTGAAATATATAAAATATATCTCGTAGTTACTTGACCTATACATCAAACTACGAATATATTTATTGTTAACCTAACTTATAGCTTGATGTATGTAATACTTTGAAAAAAAATAAATAGAAACCACTTGATAAAAATTTGTTTAATCAATTTATCAAAAGATTAAGTTTAACTGTATAAATATAGATTAAACTATATATGAATATATAAATTTAGTAAGCGAACTGTATAGTCTTTAATCACCTTTTCTGACTGATTAGTTGTATGTGTGTGTGTCTATTCTGTTAAACTATATTTATTTCACTGGTCTCTTTTTTTAAAAAAAATATAAAACAAGACAACTAATAGTAATGAATTGTTTACTGTTTATTTTTTCTTCTGTTCATTTGTATATTTCACTCCAATCATTCAATTATTTATTTATTTATACTATTACCAAAAAAAGCAGTAATCTATTTATAGCACACCCACTTTAAATAAACGGATTGATTCTCTGTTTATTTGTTTTTTTTTGGTAACTGAACCTGATAGAAAATCAATTTGGAAAATAAATTATATTAGACAAGTTAGTACAAATAAAAACCTTTTGTTATATATAGTGTATTTGTGTTCTATAAAACAACATAACTTAATTTCACTTTTATCTCTTTATCTCTTTCAATGGATCCGTTATGTTTTTTACATATTTGTGTATTTGGATCTGAAGTCATTACCTGATGAAATTACACAATTATCAAAACTACGTATTCTGGATTTGGAATCAAACTTATTAGAATCATTACCAAATGATTTATCAGGTTTAACATCATTACAAGAATTAAATGTTCTATGTAATAGATTAAAAACATTTCCTGCAAGTATTGGGTAAGCTTGTGACATTAATTGTCATTTTTATTAAATGTATATGTTTTTTTCATTCTCTTTAGTAGTGAAGGTAATGATAGTAGCATTCATTTCTTTTTAACGAAAATTTATACTTAATTGCCTATGCTCAAAATAATAGATCATACACACTGAAATGAATTTCTTAATTAATGACCTCTATGTACCAACTGTACAAAATTATTCAGCATTACTTAAACACATCAGTTATCGGTTATAGATACATATGTATATGATATTCTCTTCAAATTATGTACGGTTCTGTGTTCATAAATGTTGATTTCCAATATTCAATATAAAATACACAGTAAGTTTTCGTTAAACTAATGAATGTTATACTGCGATTAAGGATACGGGAATATGTAATACAAAAGGTGGAAATTGATAAATTTGTTATTGGAATGACTGATAAGTCATATATGTGAAAACTAATAATAATCTCTTCAGTATATAGGGTGTTCATTATGTCCTGCCTAAAACCGGGCTTTCTAAAATGGTAAGCTGTAATCAGTTTATTTCTTTTATTAATAATTCAGCCTGAAAGTAGATTAAGACGAATCCTAAACCTAATCATATAAAACAGTAAAAAGGAAGTAGCTATAATATGAAATCAAAATCACTTATTTACTTAAGAGTGAATCGATCTTATATGACGAACAAAATAGTTGGGTATAGTTTTTTCAAATACATAAATCGATTTTTCTTTGAGTTCATTTTTACAACGCCCATTTTGCATAAATTATAAAACTTATGATCCTCAATAAAAAATTTCACCCTTGTAATACAATGTTTAACCTGATTTCATCGAATTAATCGATAATTTTTACTAGCCAACATGATAAACATTTATGAGCATACGAAAATAAAATCAACTGATGACAAACAGTGTTCCATAAGAGTAGTTAGAATGATGCACAAATAATATCTATCCTAATCTCACTGTCGGTAATTTTTCTTCAAATCGTTTTATCATTACTTATCTGGTGAAGAAACAGTCAGACAATTTGCATACATGAAGTCTGCTTTCAAATGGTAAAACGTGTATGTATATCTCAGCGATCATATTTACCTTATGCTATCGATCATTGCGAACCTTCAGCATTATAGAATATGCACGCACTGAATCATGGATGACTGTCATTTTTTTTTAATAAAAAAGACATTCTGGTGTAGAATTTCACTTCTTTTCTAATAGGTCCAAATCTATCCTATTCCTAAAGGTAATCATAATTTATTAACTTACCATGTATTTAATAGTAGTCAAATTTTGAAAGCAATGATAACTTTGCAAATTGTTGTACCCAGTCTCGAGAAAAATTTCATTTTCTTAGACTGGGACAATTTAAAAGTTCGGACTATTTTATTAGTTTTCAAAAATGATTATTACTGAAACCCAGAGTTCACTTGAGTTTTCTACAATAACATTATAGTCAGTAATATAATATTATTACAGTGTTACTGTATAGTATTATTATAATAATCTGTTGAGTAATTCAACGCTTTAGAGATAGATGCTACTCACTCTTCTAATATTAATCATTGTACAATAGATTTCAGTCAATCTGGGTATAAATATTTCATATGTAAGGTATAGAGCACATTCTTTACGCTTTATTATCCGTTATACTTTCTAGCTTGCATTGAATAGCGTGCAATTAGATGCTACTACCACTCACGAGCACCAACTACTGTGACGCCTAAGTTTTTAATATCCTGTCGACTACTGTCAACTATCTAACACTAATTTACGCTTAACATAATAATAACATCAGAAGGGTTTTTTGTGAATTAAAAAATAACAACAATTGATAATTATTAAACAAACCACCAAACGTAATCCGGGTTTTAAAAACCTGGATAATGTATTTTAAAAAATACCAATAATCTGTTAAACAAACCAACAACTGATTTGAACTATCAATAAAGCAATGTGTTTACAATAAAATATGAAATATACTTTTAAGGAATGGACTTGTTGGCGAAATCAATTTTAGAATACTTTGAAAAGTTAAAGAACACTCGGAAACTCCAAGAATTAAGACTCAAACAAATTTGAATATGTACATTTACATTTTTGGAACATTAAATGACTCGGATGATTGGATGCATATTTTTCTTAAAGAATATCTCCTATTAGATTTAAAATTGCCATTACAACATATATCTCTAATAACCATTTATCTTCCCACTATTTATCTATCGTTTATTTTCTTGTTTCGCTTTACATCCCCGTAGACAACTTACCAAATTGAAAGTGATTATGGCCGGTGAAAATGACATTACTGATATTCCTGTTGAAATAGGTAAGCGAAATAACATTACACATATTACCTGTATATTGTATCTAGTTTATCCAATGTTTTTTTCTCATTTTAATCTTGAACGAAATTTCGGTGCATATTTAATTTTATATAGTATACGTTTTGACCAATCTACTGAAATCACTAAGTTGCATTCACTTTAAAACAATTTGATTATTTTCCCAGTTAACTCCTTTTTTATTCTCATCAACTAATAATATTTTCTAACTCCATTAAATATTTATATGCATTTGATATTATGGGAAAGAGTAAGTAGCTCTTGTTACTTTATCACAGCCTTCCACTTATGCTTTATTCTTCATAATCCAATCCCTTAATCTAAATACAAAAACCCAACCATACTAAATATAACATTATATATAATATACACAGCTATGGACAATCAACGACAACAACAGTTAAAAATAAATTACTGTTCATCATTAGTGTCAATTCGTTTTGTTATCTCATTCTGAATTATTAGCTTAAATTTGTTTATTCACGTGATGGTTTTGTTAGTTCTCCAAGAAAAAAATGTAGAACATAGGTGGTAGTTTTGCAATAGTTGATATGACAATAATAAATATTCAATTGAATAGAATCTATTACCATTATTACTATTATTATTATTATCACATGGCTCATCATGCATTTTTTTCAGTTATATCTTTCTCTTTCTAACTAAGAAACATCATACTTGACGAGTTTTTATGGCTTAGAATTGTTCATTGGTCAATTTGTATCAATGGTAATTGATGTTTGGTTTGTTAGTAAATACGTCAATATAAACAGTAGAAGTTTGTATAATTGTATAATTTCATGGAGTGATGCCACATTTCGGTTTGACATTCCTAGATTTCTTACAACCTATTCCTGTACCAGCCATCATTGTCCATCAAGGTAGGCGGTAGTTGGGCATACGTAATACATGTTCCATCCACTCCAGTCGATAAATATTCAATACTTCACTAATTGGCTTGCGATCCTTATCTAGTAACCGGTGTTTAACCTCAACGTTATTTACTCGGTGTTCGCAATGCACACGATCAAGGATATCTATGATCAAATACTTTCCATCACTTTTTCTTTGACTCCTCACTACCGCTTTCGATCAATGTGTTGACTGTTTTCACCCTATATTTAAACTCCCTTTGCTTCTCATCATATTCGAAACCTAATATGTTTTTGTACATTTTATTAGTTTGAAAGACGCCACCGATATTTACTGATTTCGCCTAAACTTTTGGTTTAAGTTACTAGTCAAATATCACTTCTGTTGTCGTAGTTGTTTGAGCATCACTCCAATCTACATCGGGTTGAACATCACTCTTAAGATTCATTGTTTTTTCATGTAGTATACTTTTGCATTTTTCGTCAAGCTGGATTTTGAGTCGGTTTTCCTGTTGTCTTTTCTGCTTCCAGTTAGACTCACAGATGTATCCTCACATTAAAACCCAATCACAGTCTAAACATATGCTTCTGAATGGACGTTAGTTTTCTACTGTACCTCCACCATATTGTACTATATCCTTCCTTATGCTCAAATTTGTTGCTTGTTAAAACTAGGTAGTTGTCTAAGCACAGTTACAGCAGACGTTAGACGTTTTCCGTTCGCTTAAATGGAACATCTTAAGACCTACACAAGTGTCCTTCAATTTTTTAGACTACCCACCAGAGGATTTAAACACCTTACTACAATTAAAATGCATGTGTGTTTGGCTTTTCAAAGTTGATCGAAAGGGTTTCTGTAAAACTGATCCTTCGCTTCATCTAAACTGCAGTCAGTGAAAGCATAGCCAACAACGACGAAGAATTAATTATATCTTTCCGAGTTCTTACTGCCCTGTTTAATCGAAGAGTATACAGTCGACTGTCTCTCATGATCCAGTTTAAAAGAGTCTATTCTCTGTTTTGACCTACACATTCGAGACCACAAGCAGAAGCGGGTAGGTTACAAGCTACACCAGGATATATCGCATCAGTTCTCTATATTGACGTCAAGCGAACGACATCACTTTGATCATTTATTCTTGTTTCCGTAAAAAAGCTTACGTCGATAACACTAAATTCTAAGGACTTAGATAAGGAAGTCTGTTGTGTCATTTAACGTATGTTTCGAATATTGAATGCTCCAACATGTATATTAGAGAGTTGTTTCAGGGGATCAACAATAGCATTTCATGAACTCAAATTGTTAGCGTTGGTGGCACATGGTATTAAGGTCATGGGAGAAGAGTGGATACTAAGGATAGGATAAATACTCGAGTGACGAAGGGATTTGATCGTGAACAAGGTAATCTAGTATGTTGTTAGAGATATATGAGAGGTTGTCCCTCCCGAGTTGACCACACTGTAAATGGATATATTTCATGAGAGATTTGTAAAGGAAACTAGGTCTTAATTGGTCTTAGCGATCTTGGAGTATAATCATAAAGCCCAAAGGACAACTGCTTATGGCTGGTCACGTGCGGTCTTTTTGCAAAACCTTTTTTACTTGTCAGCTCCGTAATTCAGAGGACTTACCATTTGAGACGAAAAACTATGGGGCTAAGTCAAGTGACATTTTTAGGACTGACTTTTTCTAATCCCTTTCTTTCGTCGTGAAAATCAGCATTTCTGTGGATGCCAGTACAACCACACCATTGCCTCAGACCTCAATAAACATTGAAATCTATTTACTTAATATAGAATCACTTGTAAATAGATATTTGGCTTTGGTAATTTCATTACATGGGTTCCTCGAAAATTAAAAATTATGATTGTTATTGGAGTTGCTAAAGGCTGTTTGACTGATTTCTTGTCTTTATAAACAAAACATGGTCACCTCTTTTTCTGCTCACCACAAATAAGGTACGTTTGTTGTTAATATATTTCTACAAGTGTATACATTTTAACTAACATAAAACCATGCATTGTACATTTATTGTATTTTCGTCATAAATGATTGACGAGATTCAGTCTAATCTATGTTAATTTAGACTAGATACTTGTTGTTCCGTACGAAAAAAAGTACCTGTGGTTTAATATCATCGCCCACGCCTTCTAGCTCATTTGTGAATTAGTCATGTGCTGTTATTTGAGTTTTTTGTACGTTTTTTACGTTTTTATGCGTAAAAAACCCCATAGAATATGTTACACGTGGAAATATGACCTTAAACAATATGTAGAAATTGATTCGTCAATTTATTATGTGTATACACAAACAAATAAATATTGATGAACACTATGATTTGTATAGAATTATTTGAACCAGTACACTTTTTTTCGTTACAATGCGACATTTGAAGTAGTTCACAAGCTGCCTTTCTCTCTGGCACTATATAGATTTTGCTTCACTAAAGAAAAAGAAAGAGCATCACTTAGCGGACCAACAATAAAGCACTAATTACTGTAAAAGAAACGTTTTAGTGCATTTATGTTTCATAATACAAACTGAAATGAAGTAGAATAAAAGGTGGTGATATTCTGATAGGCTGATGTTAGCCCATCTTAACAAACTGGTACAATGATATTAAGGGAAGATGATCACTTACAGATAACTTTAAAGTGAAACTAGAGTGACGTTAAGGAACTCCAACCACTTCACAAGGTTAAAATGAGATTATAAATTATTGTGAGGAATTAGAGCTAGGAGTCAGTATTAAGGTTTCCATCACTAACTGATATCAGCTATGAAACCAAAATGTTATTGAGCTATCTAGACGAATGTATTTCGCCCTAAGATTCATGAGTTGTTCTCTTCAATCTGTTTGATTCATCCGTATATTATAGTCCTGCCGATGGCGATCATATTTACTGTATGTAGTTGAGTCATTAACCTTCTCTCTTTCTGTCTAACTTATCTAAAAATCTTGTAGTTTAAACCAATTTTCTTTGTACTTACTGACCTAATAACTTTACTGTGATATTTTAACCAGAGATCACAGAGAAGTTTTTTTCTGAGTCATTGTTTTTTTTCGAAAAATATTACCAACTGAATTAAAAGCACAACTTATTGATGCCAGTCATTTAACGTCTGCATAACACTATTAATTGCACTGAACTCTACTTTGTTACTTATTAATTACGTTAAGTAGGCGATGATTTTTCAGGTTTTCTGTCGACTAATATTGGGTCTATCAGTCATATTAGAAAAATTGTACCATATATAACAATTAACTGGTAGAAAGGATATTTTACACGTCAGATTACTAGGGTTGCTGTCAAACACTGACGAAAATCTCACAGGTATGGATTATTGGATATTATCATCTAACTTATACACGGATATCTTCTTTGTGGGGAATCGTATATTGGAGACTAACGTGTTTATTTGAAACACTTTTGAATGGTCTATCCTTGTTACAGATAACCCAGAAACAGATATCTTGTAAAATATTTGTTGAAACGCGATAATGTATTGGTAAATGATACAAAGTAATTATGTTTTCTGGACAGAATAAAAATCCTACTCTTTTATTCCATATTTATATCTTTTATGAACTGTACACACTTTTTTTGATGATTGATAATCATTTCTAAGAGTTTCCCACTTATTGAGTCAACTTCATTTTTTACATTATGCCAACTGAATTAGTCAACTGAACTATTAGCCACTTATGTTGCACCGTATGCAGAACCAACTTGGAATCACTTCGTACTAAAAGTCATCCAACTACTGATTGTATATTTTAGTTGTTAAAACAATATGAATGTCATCTTCGTCTATGTGTGTACTCGTAAATCATATTAATCATGGGCGATACGCGAATCATTCTTTGAAATCATTTATACGTAACTAACAGGAGTTATGATTATGATTTCCTTATAACTTATTTGATTCGAATTTGATTTTGTAAATCTTGAAAAATCACTCATCAACACCAACAATTATTTCCTGTCTTAAGAATTTTTATGTTTTCATAAAACCTCTGCAATATTAAATTTATTTAGGTAATGTAGTTACACTCTGAAAAATC